ACATTGGCAGTACTATGCACTGGAAACACCTGATTTAAATAATGTAAGGGGACGTCCACTTTTAACCACATAGGTGGGTGTGATGGTCAGTTGTCCACAAATGTTGGACGTGTAGTATTTTCTTAGTATTAGGTTCTCAGACGTGCTGAATTAGTTATTTTGAGTTAATATGTTTTTATTTCAAAGATACATATAAATTTATATACAACACACATATATACATGTACATACATACTTTCATACATCATGGGGGGGAAAGGAAGTCCAAATGTTATTGATTGGTCCCCCATATGTGCGGTGCGTGGATATTTCTATTTATTCCTCTATCTCCCAGACTTGAATTCCCTATACCATACTCTTCACAATTTCCCACCCTGCCACCCATATTATGTGAACATGCTCATTATTTCTATGTGTATCCCTTAAAACATACATATCCACCTGTGGGTAATAAAGTGTGGATCCCCCTCCTAAAATGAAAACCATGATTCCATTTAGTCATCCTTATTGTGTACTCAACGAAAATGTATTCTAATTACTTGTGTTCATCTATGTGATGTGTTACCCATTAATACCACCTAGAATTCTATTTTCTAGGCCGTGTGGAGGTACCTTCACACCCTTTTTACTTTAAAATAAATGTGTATATTCACCTTGGACTTCCCTTCTCCCCTTATTCTATCCTCCTTCTTCCCCTTACTCCCAGACATATAGGTCAAAAGCATTTATAATTCAATATAATACAATAGATCCAAATATTGTTTAAAGTTCACCGTTCACTCATTGGCCATTATATTTCTACAGGCATCAAAGAGGTTTCATCTCTATATCTCTTCCTTTCCTCCCTATCTTTTATTATCAGGCTCCTGAATTCTTCAGATTTTCTATATGACTCCCATTCCTCCCATATATACTTATGTTTATCAATTTTACCATTATCTTGTGCAATTAATTCCTCCATGTATCTTATTTCTTCCACTTCTCAAGTGAGGGAGGAATCCTTGATTTCCAGCCCCGTGATATGTTGACTCTTGCTGCGGCCAACGCGAATCTCAAAATATCTAACTTTATCTTTTTTATAGGACCGGGAATCAAGGATAATAATGCAATTGTGGGGTTATTCTCCTGATTTAGTTTACCTATAGATCTATAAACTTCAAATATTGACTCCCAGAAGGTATAAACTTTAGGGCAACTCCACAAAATATGCAGATACGTTCCCTCTTCTATATTACATCTCCAACATCTGTCTGATTCCCCCGGATTTATGTGTTTAATTCCTTCTGGGCATCTATACCATCTCGAGAGTATTTTATAATTTTTTTCCTGATAAAATGAGGATTTGATAGAACTATGCGTCATAATAAGAATTCTTCCCCATTCTTCTTCCGAGATCTCCCTCCCTAACTCCTGTTCCCATCTCTTCATATATTTTGTATGTCCTCTGGCTTCTTCCTCTCTTAACAGGCCATAGACCAGTGATAATGCATGTTAATTTTTTGTTTCCCGCAAGCATAATTTCTCAAACTTAGTAAATGGTATGTTAAGAGGTTTGTGTGCCTTTAGATGTCTGATAAAGTCTGTTAATTGAGTTGCCTCCATCCATAACTTTCCGTTGATTTGTCTCTCCGGTTTAAACTCCGGTTTAAGGGCTTCTTTACCTGTCTCCAAAACCTGCCACATCTGTGCCTGGGGGAAATTCTCAATGTTTAAAAAAGAGGATACCTGCATACCCGGTGGAAATTGTGTGTTCCCCGCTATGGGAGTCATGGGGCCTGGAATAGAAGATAAATTATATTTATACATCGATCTGTCCCATATTCTTAACACCGGTTTAGCTAGATATGGCATGGTAGATATATGAGGTCTGGCACCAACTGCCAGCCATGGGATGTTCTTCAAATCGATACTAGGTAAATTTGACTCCAAGTTTACTCCCACCTTAACCTGATTGCTATTGATCCAATCAAACATTCTTATTAGTAATGCTGCTTTATGATATAAGGTGAAGTCCGGTATTCCCAGGCCTCCTCTTTGTTTTGATCTGGTTAACACCTTAGAGCTAATCCAAGGGGTTTTATTAGCCCATATAAATTTTGTTGTTGCCGTTTTAAGTTTTTGAAAAAAAAGATCTCGGGAGTTGAATGTGTACTGTTTGGAACCTGTATAGTATTTTGGGTAGAACGTCCATTTTGAGTATATTGACCCTCCCAATCCACGACACTTTCATACTGCTCCATATTAGGAACTGGGAGAAAATCTTATCTATCCAATCTTATCTAAAATTAATGGCATATAGTGTATTCAGATCTTTAGGGATATTTATACCCAAATATACTATATACTTGGCTTTCCATCTAAATGAGTAGCTTTCTTTTATACTAGATTGTGCTTCCTCTGATAAAGATATATTAAGGAATTCAGACTTTGAAATATTAATATGGAAGTTGCTCAGGTCACCATATTTCGTCAATTCCATAAGAATATTTGGTATTGTCATCTGTGGGGAAGTTATAAATAGAAGGAGGTCATGGGCATATAGTGCGAGTTTATGTTGTTGTGCATTAGCGGATATACCCTTAATCGATGGATTTTGTCTGATAGTATTTGCTAGTTGTTCCATAACTATTACATATGGCAGAGGTGATAGTGGGCATCCCTGACGGGTGCCGTTGAATATATGAAAAGAGTTTGATATTTCCCCATTGACCCTAACTTTTGCTGTTGGATATACATATAGGGCCATTACCTTTGATATAAATTGCTCTCCTACACCTGCCTGAATAAGTGATTCCCTAAGGAAGGACCAGTTAACTCTATCAAATGCTTTCTCGGCATCCACTGATAGTAGACACATTGCTTGTTTCTCCTTCTGTGCTAATCCTATTAAGTTAATGACCCTGGTTGTACTATCTCTAGCCTCCCTCCCCTGGACGAATCCAGTTTGATCTTTATGAATAATTTTGGGCAGGAGTTTTTTTAATCTAGAAGCCAAAACTTTTGCATATAGTTTAAGATCTATATTTATTAGGGAGATAGGGCGATAATGTCCACATTCTGTAAGATCCTTCCCCGGTTTGGGTAGTAGAGATATATGAGCCTCTAGTGTCTGTGTGGGGAAGGGACATACATCGGTGACAGCATTACATACATCAGTAAAGAAGGGTCTTAGTATTTCCTCAAATTGTTGATAGTATCTAGCTGAAAAGCTGTCCGGCCCAGGGGCCTTACTGACCTGTAGGGAGGCAAATGCCTCCTTCATTTCATTTTCTGTAATTGTTAGGTTTAGTTTTTCCCCATCATCTCTACTCAATGCCGGCATATTAGCATCTTTTATATAACTCCGGATTTTATTCAAACATCTATCAGGTGACATATCTGCATACCTGCCTCGTATTGAGTAAAGAGATGCGTAATATTTTCTGAATGTTTCTGTTATCGAAGCCGGGGAATGTTGGATATTCCCATTTGCATCCTTAATTCGTATTATGTTTGTTTTAGGGGTTCTGGGATGAATTCTCCTGGCAAGCAGCTTTCCGCATTTATCCCCTTCCTCATAATAATATTTTTTCCTTTTATCCCTAGCAATTTGTGTTTGTTGGTCCAGGATTTTGCGTATGTCCCTTCTCACCTCATATAATTGAGAAGAGTATTTTATATTGGTAACACTCGCTTTATTCATGGTCTCCTCACACAATTTACTAAAAAGGTCCTTCAGCTTGCTTGCCTTCTCTTTTTTTAATCTAGATCCATGTTTAACTAGAATACCTCTAACAACACATTTTAATGCCTCCCATTGAATGGGAATTGACATAGTGTCTTTTTGATGGTCTTTTAAAAAATACTTTATTGAGGAAATTACTTCTTCCTGGAATGCTGTATTTTCTAAGAGATTATCATTTAACCTCCATGTTCCTTTCCCTCTATGTCTACTTTCTGTCTTAAAGGTCAATATTACTGGTGCATGGTCTGACCAAAATCTTCGTTATCTAAGATTCTCTGGTCTTTCCAGATATGGTCTATTCTACTATATGATGTATGTACTGTAGAGAAATAGGTCAAATCTCTCCTTGTGGGGTTTAATATACGCCAGCTGTCCACCAGCCCCAATTTATCCATTTTAGTTCTAAGTTTATTTAACCCCTTTACCGGTAAGGGTAGCTTGCTTGTAGTGTCTAATTCTGTGTCAAAAGTTAGATTCATATCTCCCATCACCATTTTCGTGCCTGCTCCATATTGTTCAAACTTATTTAATATCTTTACACAAAACTTATGTTGCCCCTTATTTGGTGCGTAAATATTCGCAAGTGAATACAATTCATTACAATACAAACATTTCAAAAAAATATATATCCCACAATTATCTATTACTGTGTCTAATTCTTCCACTAGTGCGTTTTTATGTATTCCCATGGACACCCCCTTAGCTTTACTTTCTGTATTTGTGCTGTGATACCATTTAGTATAATATTTGTTACTTATCTCTGTGTGTACCCCCTACCTATCTCTGTGTGTACCCCCTTCTTAAAGTGTGTTTCTTGTATACACAAAATATCTACCCTTTTTTTATGAAAATGGTACAGAGCTTGTGAAAGTTTTTCTGGTAAATTAAAACCTCTAACATTATAAGTACCTATTGCCAGACTACCCATGACCAAATTAAGTGATTCTCTAGGGTTTTTAAGCATATGACCTGAACACATACACTCACAGACACATACAATAATACAATCATACCATCAAAAATTCTTACACCAAGTTATTTTGACTGTAATACATTTTTAGGCACCACAACTACCATACAGAAAACAGACACTCTATTATTATACAAAACCAGACTGATGGCAGTGCATTTATATTCTAGTTTGGATTCTTTGCAAAGAGCTGAAAATCATTTTTAATTTCTATTCTAATAAGTGAGATGAATAAATTAACTCGATTAGCGGTACACTTTCCTTCTCCCTGGTGACTTGCTCCGGTCTTCTATACACCATTATTCTCTATTGCCCTAACATCCGCTGCAACTGTTGAGCAGTCGCCCTAAGGTTGGCCATCTCTTCAGCTGACTTGTGCTGCTCTCCTTCCATTTCTTGGAGTCTTGCTTTCATTTGCTCCATTTGTTTTTTATTGTTCATCACTGGGAAACCAAACAGACAGAACATAAAATGAAAAACAAGTGTCTACCTCTTGGCCTGGTTATAGGAACCTATCATAAAAATTTTGATTTTCTCAATTACAGTTGCAGGAAAATTAGACGGCGCTCACATGAGCTTAAACCTCAATAAGAGCGCGGTGTACTGCAAGCTTCGAGCAGGTTTGTTGAAGGCCAGTCAGGGCCAGTTTGGGGAAGTAAAGCACAGAACATAATGGGAGTGCCGACTGATTTAAACAAATTTTGAGCAGGCTTCAGAAGACTTCAATACTACTTGAATCTTGTAAAAGGTTTGCGTAAGCCTGCTAGCTGCTGGACACTCAGTGCTCCTATTACGATCTGTGTTTAACCTCTTCAAATTGGAGCCAATTGAGGCTTTAACATTATCAAGATACTCAAAGCTTGCTGAAAGCTTTGCAAATGATTTTCAAAAACTTTCTGTACACATTGTTCTTACACTAGCTGAAGTCCATATGGACAAGGTCTCAGGGTCAAATAATCAAGGATGGACTTACTCCTCTATTCTCATCTGTCCCAGCGATTACTAAAACAATTTTAGCTTCTTTGGTTGATACCGAAAATCAGGTATTTTAATTTGCTAAGTGAACAGTTATTTTACCTTTTTGAGTACAATAAGTGTATTTAAACCCTAGAACCAAAATATAACACTATATATTGCAGCATATCAGTCCTTAGTTGTGGTGGCTGCATTCATTGACTTTTTTTCATCATAAGTGCACGTCCTGCAAATATAGAACCACCTGTTGCTTCAGTGTCCTTGTCATTTTCTGTGCGCTAAATATTTATCTCAAATAATGTAATCAGCTCTCTCAGCTATGTTCTGTAAACTAAAAAAAAAATCCTCTCCCCACATTGTAATGGAATTGAAGAGTGGAGGAGGTGCTTGTAGTCTAAATCTGGAGAGCAGCCTAGGGTGACGAAGCTGCTCCACAGATACAGCACGAGGAGGTTTACATATGGTTTGCCTGCTGTTCACAGGACCCAGTGCAACAATCCATCCTGACAAGTGGATGGCAAAAAAAGGGACCAAGCGCCGCAAGCAGGACAAACCCAGCCTCTAATGGTGCCAGTGAGTGATGAGCAAATAATGTACCTTCTTTTTCCTTCTGTTTCTGGCTCAGAGCATTGTCCTCTTGTATAATTATTATTTCAGCAGCTTGTTTGGACATCATGTATTGCTGAAGCACTTCTTCTGCCTGTAGAAATGAACAATGGTTGACATTAATTGTAGATATTTATTCATGTGTTCAACTGCAAAGGCGATATTTGAGGAGAAAAATTTGTGTTTGACCTGCTTGCCCATATCCAAACTCATATCAATAGGACTTGCTGAGTCCAAAGATCAAAGCAATACAGAACTTGGAACTGTCATAGACACTACTCCACTGAGGTCAATTGGAATCTACTGGTAGCATTTTAATGCACGTCAGATGCAAAACAAAATCTATCCCGAGTATGCCAGGTCCATGGTCAGATCTGATGCATCTGCATATATAACACTGCTGAACAAAACATCGTGGGTGGAAGGCAAAAGATGTACAAGTCTCACCCCATATGGCTTCATCAGGACCGAGTAAACACAAACTGGTCTTATTTTAAATACTGCAATGACCGCTTTTTCATCAATCCTTATAGTATACTTTACTGGGTACTGTAGGCAGAATGGGTTAATATCATGTAGCGCTCACCCCCGAAGGAGCCGCTGAATGATCGGGTCTTCCTTTAGCCTGTCTAGGGATTTCTTAGTATCTACTGTCCCAATAGCACTTACCACCTCCAGTGGTTACCGACCAAGCGAAGTCCAGACAGTTGATCCAATCTGATTCTCTTTTATTACTGGACTCCAGTGAGAGAGGGAAGAGGGTCAGATGCATCCAGGATGAAGGTGACTCCTTTTCTTAGAAATAGAGCATAGTAACTGCTGCCAACACAGACTTGGACCTTTAAGGCGTACCGGCAATCTGTGTGGAGAACTTCTGACAAGCAGTACTTTCAGCCTTCTTGTCCATGTTCAGCTCCAGCAGGAGATGCTGACCACTGGGCCTCCAGGCTCAGGCCCCAGTGTCAAGACGAGGCCCCTAGCTTGGGCCTAACCAATTCAGTCTCCTCAGCAGGAACCTGCCCCCAGGAGGACCCTGGGGAAGGGAAGAGACTGTTGCATCAGCCACACTGAGCATTTGTCTCCTCTCCCAGAATGCCTCACTGCTACTCTCCTACAGTGATTGGCCCGGGAGACATAAATGCCCAAAGCAATCCTTATTGGCTGCTCTGCTCTGTGTGGTACCACACCCAGCAACAGGCAGATACAGCTTCACAGATTGCTCTGTAATAATTGAACTGAACATAGACCAGGGGCATCCCGAGGCTGGGTGACACACGGAGCGGTAACCGAGTGTCACCACGCCGAGACGTCACTGCGCATGCGCGTGACGTCATCGCGCACGCACGGCAGTATTCTGATACCTGCCGGCGGCCATCTTGGTGATGGACGCCGGCAGAGAGAGGAGGGGACAGTCACCCGGCGGGATAAGGTATGCCGCCGGGTCCCCTTCTCTCTCCTGATACTGTCAGGCGTTCGGTCCATGACCGAGCGCCCGACTTTTCAGAGGGGGGTGACACCAAAATGACTGTGAGTCATTTTGGTGTCACCCCTCTAATGGTGTCAACCGGGTGCATGCTGAACCCCCCGCATCCCCCTTGTGACGCCACTGACATAGACTACAGATATATTTTAGCACTCTTATTAGCAGGGTGCTACAATCATAAGAAGGATTATTGGATTGTTGTTTAGCAGTATACTATCTGTACAGGTTTATTGCTGCCATGAGGACAGAAAAACAAATTGGGTTCCTTTAGTAGGGGAAACCTAACTTAAAGGGTAACAATAAAAATGAAAAATAGGGGTCCCCTTAACCTGCCTGCAAAGTGGCGGACCTGTACGATGTATAGAACCTGCTGCAGCACAAATAAGAAATAAAAAAAAAAAAGAAAGAAGAGGGAGAAGGGACACATCTTATCTCTGGTTCATGGGAGATGGTATTCCATATAAGAACAAGACATTGCCATTGGTATTGTTAAGTGTTTGCCACGTGGACCACACCAAAATTAAATTCATGGATATTATTATGTATTCGAGCCGTTAGATATTCCATATTATGAATGTCATGGATCCTTCGCACCAATTCTAGATAGGACGGGGAGGGGGGTAATTTGTCGCCATTTTAAAGCTATAAGGCATCTTGCTGCAGTGAGAACATGGTTGATAAGTTTGGTAATGGTTTTCGGGACATGTGGTATGGGAAGACCTAAAAGCAAGTGTACAGGATCATCCGGTATAGTGTGATCAACCTTTTTTTGGAGTAACGTAATTATATAGTTCCAGAAAGGCCTTATCTTAGGACATTCCCAAAATATGTGGAGTATACTGCCCTTTGAGGTCAAGCATCTCCAACATTCCGAATGTTGCGAAGGATTCATGCGGTTTAGCAAGTCTGGGGTGCGATACCAGTGGTAAAGAATTTTGTACTGATTTTCCTGATATAAAGTACTGATAGAAATCTTACTGGTTTCTGAGAGGTTTTGGAAGATCGCACTCACTTACTCACTGAGAGGTTTTGGAAGATCTGAGCAGCCCTGTATGATGAGATAGGGAACAAAAAAATATAGACAAACTGAAGCGCAGTCAGGGGAAGTTAGAAAACCAGAAGCAGCGCTTAGAAGCCTTAAAAAAATTTAAGAGGATACTAAGGTAGATAAGTGGGGCCTGAAAGAACTGGGAGTCAAGCTAAAACATCTCAGCCAACAGCAGAAGCAGATATTAGCCTTTCATCTCTTTGTCTTTGGTGTAGCAAAAGTAGCAGCTGCAATACTGGTGTTCTTACAATGCAACTAATGTCATCTGTGATTTTATAATGCAGAAAATTGTTGCACTTACTTTAAATGATATAAGCAGATATTAGCCTTTCATCCCTTTGCCACTGGTGAGACCGTTGCAGGTGGTGGATACTTTTGCTAGAACCACAAAGCTGAATCTTCCTTTAAAGCCTAATGTAACTTGTATCCTGTTCTGTTTCACCATTAGCAAAACTCCAAAAGTAGCAGCTGCAAAACTGGTGTTCTTCCAATGCACCTAATGTCATCTGTGATTTTATAATGCAGAAAATTGTTATACTTACTATGAATGATATAACAAGTCCACCTACCTTTACACCTTTTCCTCTTTCCCTATTATACTTTTCTTCCACGGCTTTTAAGCTCCGCTTGAACTTTCCATGTCCTCCAGGCTTACGGAATGTTCCTACAGCCAAACCTCTTTCAAAGCCCGCTGAATGCTTCTGAATAAGGGCCGCGCACACCTCTCTAGACTCCGCCTCATTCATAGTGTTAAACTCCATTCTCATTCTCTCGACCTTTTCCTGATAGAATGATAATTAAAAAACATTATTTCCCCATTTTCAATTAGTTCAATTCTTGATCAGAAGATCTAAAATAAAGTTTATCTTTTTACACTCCTCGCTATTATCTAACCCTAATAGAAATATAACCATAATGATTACCTTTAAGAAAGCAAAATCCTTCCTCAGGGCACTAATACCAGCTTTATGGGACAGAGTCATGGTGAGTGAGGGATCTGTGTTTTGGCAAACTGATCCCACCCTTTGTGGTGGCTTAGTCTTAAAAATGGTGCTTTGGAGGAAGGTCGAAGGTGCTAAAAGTTAAGGCCAACCATAGACATTAGAGGACAATTGTCCAGAAAGACGTGATCTGACTGCCCTCAAAGCTCTGAAGCTCTGCAGGACACTGTGCTAGCTTGTAAACTTGGCAAACGTTATGCATATCCTCTGTGGAGAAGAAAGTGGGTAAAATGGGGAGCTGGTTTTCTATGGAAACAATAAAGATTGAGGTAGGACTGCTTTCACCAATAGCATCTGTAAAACTGGCTGGGAAAGCATCAGTTAGCATTAGATTCTTTTGTAATGCTCTAATTGCACTGAGCACATGCCCTTTGCACAAATCTCACATGGCTTTCCCCTAAGGAAGTCACACATATGGCAATAAAGGTTGGTAAAAGGTTAGGACAGTGGAATAAGCAGTAGCACCTTATGTCAGTGATGATGGGTTGGTCCAATATAAAGGAAATAGAAAGTTTAAAGCCCAACTGAACTTCAGTTTAAATCAGCTAAATATATTCCAAGTGCATAAAAGAGGTGTGCAAAGTCTTACAGTTGGTTTTCTTAAATAAACAGCCACATACAGCATATAAATATCTGTCCACTGCCAGCATGCTGCGGAAAAGAACCCTTGCTCTAAGTGTGGAAGCAGTGGTCTCTTTGCAGAGGTCTAATACCTTCAGACCTAGAGCTTTATAATCAGCAGAGCTCTGGGGAAGTACCAGACTCTTTTCTCATGCTATAGACTTTGGTTCAGCACTATAGTAGTCAGGGCAGGTCTTCTGTCCTCTTCACTGGGCTGGCTGGCCATGGAGTATCGAGCATTGACTAATAGGGAAGTTAGCAGCAATACCTCTCAGCATGATTTCAAGTTTTGATAGCCTATAAATGAACTTGTCAAAAAATGCCCTGCAAAAGAAGCCACTGTATATTATCTTCTCCAGGGGTCCATGTGACCTACCTCTGCTCAGTTTTAGTGATGCAGCCTCTGTCAGTGTGCTTGCCATTAGAAACCTCTGGGAAGGTTGGATGGTTTTGTCCATTTCTGTGCACCACGGTTCTTTCAAATCCTAATCACTACAGGGCTCAGCAGTGACATTGGGCTTGAAGGAAGGTACCACAGCGAGTGTCAGTGGAAAAAGACATCCAACGTTGCCAGAATTGTTAAATGCTGAAGACACTGGAGGAGGCTGCATAAACTAGATCATATAACTTATACACAAGATTAAAACTCACCGCAAATTCTTTAAGGAATTTCTGATCTTTATCCTTAATTGATCTTTTCAGGAATTTCTCCCAAGCTTCATCTTCAAACCAACTGCTCAGATATAGGAAATATTTGAGCGTTTCAGTGGGCATCACAACTGTCCTCATCCTCTTCTCATAATGCTCTGTTGCTTCCTGAATGGCAATTTTGTTCTCCTTCTCAGCCAAGGAAACCACCGCCTCCTCCAAGCAGGCAACATTAGAGGAGTTTATAGCATCAGTGTAAAGTTTTGCCAGCTCACCCAGTCCTGAGGAAATTGGAAACATTGTCCATGTATAAATAGAAGACTAGTACAGCCACCACACTGGTAAGGTGCAATATGTGAATTTTTTTGTTTTGGCATTTAGATACGCTTTAATATATTTGATTAAAGCTACACAACATTAGATGAACTCACGGTATCCAGTGACATCAACTGTGATGTCCACTCTCTTAACCTCGGCGTTCTTGAAAATGTATTCACAGAAAAGGGCGCTCTGAGCCACAAAAACTTTATCGAGTCTATCATCGGGTAGATGTTCTAGTTCCTTCAGTTGTTTTCTGGAGTCAGTTGGGGCATCAAACACAAAGCATCTCCGATTCCCGAAATACATCCGGAGGCGATTCCTCAGCTCATTATACTCCTTATCCTCAGGTGACCTCTCAGCTTTTGTAAAGCAAATAAGAAATGTAAGAGTTAAGATGAAAACATTGAGTTCCTTTGTTAATGTTGGTATCTGCAGAAGTCTATACCTTCCTTAGGATTATTTTACTCTGGGTTCACCTCTCCTTTTCCCTTAACACACCAAATGCTCACTGCCACCGCGTACTTTAGCAGGTGTATGCACCAATCCCCGCAAGTGCTGTGACACTTCAAAAAACGTAAACAATGCCTATGATACTGCTGTCCTCTCAGACAGGAATATGACAGGATTCAATAGACAGTATAGTAGCGCTCTTCACAGAGGCAAGGATACTTAAGTTCATATTTAGAGCGTAGAGATAAGCTTAACGATTTTTTATATTTTCTTTTAATAAAAGAAACGGTGAAGGAGATATACAGAAAACGACATTCATAAAAAGATACAAATATATAGCAATAGTAAAAAAAAAAAGGGAATAAAAGGAGACTACTTAACAGTCCTGGTTTTAGGAGTTCTGACAGTTCAAAAAAGAGGGGTCTGAAGGGCTTTCCTTCAAGCAAGCTTTCAGCAGATGATGTCCAGATTTTAGAGGGGAACTCTTCTGCAGTGTAAAGACTTCTTGCAGGAGTTCCTTTTCTTGATGTTTCAATACAAGAGCCTCTCTAGCTGCCTCGGCAGCATCTTTTGTCAGCCCCCTAGGTGAGGGCTGGTGAGTGAGAGCAGGAGGGACGAGCCTTTATGATTTCCTCCTCTGCTCCTCCCAAACGGTTAAATTCATAACTTAATAACATAACTAAATTCATAACTTAAGATGATAGTGGAGTATTTATATTTAATACGGTCCGGTAATCCCTAAATTATGATGCGTCATGAAGTTACCTTTAGATTGAAACTAAACGTGCCCGAGATATGAATGATGGGAGGGTCAGGAAGATAAATGTCGCCTGTCCAGCCGGGGCTCATTGGAAACTATTCATTCTTGGTATCTATGTTCTCTTCGTGACGAGACACAACTATCTGTGCACCTAATTTTACAATATCACTGTCCAATTTCAAATTATGAAATGGAGCTGATATTGTAACTCAGGTTTATGACTTTTGGGTGAATGCCGGGTCCTGCTTGTGTTTAGTAACTGGTCAGCTGCTAGGAGATGAGTGCCGGGTTGCATGCCTTAATTAGGGGCAGCCATAAAAGGTTTAGAGGGTTATTTTGGATTCTCACTTGTTAAGTAGTGCTGGGGCAATAAAGATCACAGCCTAGATTAGCAGATCTCTGTTTTTTGGAAGTTGGGGGGCCTGGCAAATGACTAAATGAAAGCAGGATTTGTTTAAAACTGGGGACAAGAGAATGCTATATTTAATATAAAAAAACTCAAACCCCATTATCATCATAGTCATTCCTCTCTGGACTCAGAAAGCAGGAAGGGGGTTAAACCCCTTTAATGTTTCCCATAAATATGTGGGAATTGCCAGGAAATGCCTTTGTTTCTTGGCAATAAACAGAGCACAGGCTCACTATCTCTTAGCTTTCTATGTAATGACTACAATACAATGATTCAAGTTACTTGGTTCAGTTTGCAGATAATTCACATACATACGTGTTTTAAATTTTAAGGCGTTCTCCAGGTAACCATCAGCTGAGACCGTCTTCCCATCAATCTCCAGTTCCAGATTAAAATCTCTCACTGCCCAAACAAAGATGGGGAAGTATGTGGAAAATGTTGCTTGCTCGTCCGGAATGCTGCCAGTTCTCACCTTGATTAATTCCGTGATTTCCCCTACAAATCTTGTAAATGTTTATAAGGACATATAACATCTTTCTTTCCAGTCACCCAGTTAGAGATTACATTTGCATTATCTCTGGGAGAGGGGAAAATTAACAGAAAACACCCCCAATTCACTAATCTAGAAGATTCATTAAGAAAATGACTTACCTGAAGCCACAGTCACATGACACCCTGGACATTATGTCTTCTTTTGTCTTTTGTAGACCAGGGATGTCCAAACTGCAGTCCTCCTGCTGTGGTGGAACTACGAATCTCATGAGGCTTTGCAAGATTCTCACAGCCACAGACATGACTCCCGGAGAGAGATGCATCATGGGATTTATTGTTTCACCACAGCTGGAGGGCCTGAGTTTGGCCATCCCTGGTCTAGACTGTAGTGTGGAAGGATCCTTATTCTAGTGCTACCCTCAATCCCTGGAAAGGTGGATACCTCCATTTGGTTGATAAAGGTGTCTACTAGTGGGGTACCCACAGGGTCCTGTAGACTTCCAGCAGCACATGACATCTAGACGAGGGGTAGTAACAAGCCTGGTCAGAGGATCAGGACTCCAGGATCACGTAACAGCTGATTCTAGTAAATGCTTAAATTGTTATGGGTGGTTGGGTGGTGTGGGGAGGATTATGTAGGGGAGTGCCCAGAGATAGACTAAGTGACATTTTTCTTCTTGTACCTTGTTATAAAAGGATACTTTAATTTGTCTAGGGCATCCTGATTGATGGTGCCGAGGCTATTATACACCAGGGCACTACTTAGTAGGACTGCAAGGGCGAAGATCTTGCTGTCGTTTTTTTTATCCCCCTTAAAAAAGAAAAAGAACATAAAAGTGGAAACAAAAGTTTACTATGACTATTTTGTTGTACTTTTTAATTAATTTACAATTGTGTCACACTCATTTTTTTTTAATAGAAGTTCAGGTTTTGCACACAACTACAAAATTATTTTCTATTACATCTTTTGTAAAATAGCAAAGCTAAAGTCCCGTTTTACTTACCCTAATACATGGTCACTTGACATGTCGGGTTTCTGAGTCAATCTTCTTCTCTACAGAGGAGGAACATGCTGGCAGATTGTCAGAAGAACAATCCGGACATCAGTAACAACCGTAACCAACATGCAACACACAGCTCATTGATGATGTCAATGAATCACGGCCATGGTGACTTGCTAACCAAACAAAGATCGTTGTTTGGAGGAGGAGGAATGAGGAGAGAGCTTATTTTGCACAGATAAAACCATGCAGTGAAACAGTTATATCGCTGACTGCTACCATTGCAGGAGACTCACCCAGATCTAGTTGCTGGACAAACACACTTGCATACAATCTGGCATATTCTGAGGGTTGTGGAGCAACCTAGCAATTTCCATGTCTTAATGTCTAAATTGCTGCAGCAGATTCTGTAAGCAGTACATGTTTCCTTTAACATGTGGGGACGGCTACCATATGTGTGTATAATGGGTTAACTACGGCGCTAACCGCCCCCAGAGATGACCACTCTCATTCTGCTGGTGCTTAGATTGGGGTCCTGCAAGCTGCAAAACTCTGCACATGGTGTGGCTGAGAACATAATATCTGTCACGGACCAGGGCTCACGGGTATGAACTGGAGTAAGGTATGTGGACCCTTTCTACTACACTGGCAGGGACACTTAGAGAAAAGGGTCCAAGCAGTGTAGGCTGACGACTCCCAGAGCTGGAGTACAAGCAGGGGAACTGAATGAGGCAGTGGAAGTCAGCTAAAGCTAGAAGTTAAAATACAAGGCAGGGTGCTGCAAAGCTGAGTAGGTGGCATGGGGTCCCACAGGATGTGGAATCTAAGGTGCTAGTCGGTATTCGCCAGAGCTCCTGATGGTGGAGATGGGCTTGGCTGCGTGCTGACCCCAGGTCACAATCCCTAGGTCCACCCAACTCATCTAACAGGTACAGGGTACGAATCAAATGTTAGGGACAGGCTGAAGACTAAGACTTCCAGGGACAAAGTGAAGCACAGGGCAGACTGTAGACGGGAATATCTAAGGACAAAGCGAAACACAGGGCAGACTGTAGACAGGGATATCCAAGGACAAAGCGAAGCACAGGACAGACTGTAGACGGGAATATCCAAGGACAAAGCGAAGCACAGGGCAGACTGTAGATAGGGATATCCAAGGACAAAGCGAAGCACAGGGCAGACTGAGACATGGATTTCCAAGGATAAGCCAAAGGTTCAGTACAGGGCAAAATACCAGGAATTCAGGTTCAATCGCAAATGGGGTACTCAGCAACTAGCTTGGGAAAGCGTAGCTCGGGCCCTGTGCTGTTCGCTGCCCTGAGTTTAAATAGAGACAGGAAGAGGGAGGATCCACAGGATTGGCCCCACACGGAAAGGCACTGATTGGCCGAGAAGCTGTATAAGAAACAGCAGGAGAGGCCGGCCGATCCCTAAAGCTGCCAGACTGGTGCAAGTGTGAGTCATGTTCAGAGCACATGTCTGGACCACTACAAGCACCAGCACAGCCCTGCATGCCTGCAGAACCAGGGGTAAGAGGTATGTATATAGTTGTAGAACTACAAGTAACAGCTCAGCTGCAAGTCTGCAGATGAACTGTGACAATATCATAACAACCAGGATCTCATTTTTCTTCCAAATAATATTACTTCTACTACAGAGTTTTTAAAGAAATTATCAGAAATTCAAAGCAAAACTAAAGGTAGGAAAGCTCAAATGTGTTGAAAAATTCTCTGAACTTTGCACATGTGTTCATAACTGGTTGGACAGAGTGGTAAAGGAGAACAAAAGACAATAAATAACACATTTCATCTTCACAAACCATAAAACTGAATATTCCATCAGTATGGAAAATACAAAATACGCAAAAAAGGAGTTCTGGGCAATATGAAGCCATGATACTTAGTAGAGTCTCATTTTAACATTCTCACCTTCTCTACGTCCCCCAGACCTTCTGTGTCTAAGAGAACCAGAGCACGATCCTTATACATGGGGTGAGGGACACACCACATCCAGATACCTTTGGTCTGAGACTGAATTGTAGAACCCAGACTGAAGCCTGTGAGCAGGAAACATGTACAATTATATTTTAAACAATTATAACTTCATATCTTTCACATAACTAGAAATGAGCGAACTTTTGAAGTTGATCAGCTGTTTGGACAATCTTTTAGAAATTTGGACTTTCTGAGCTGGAAGTCCCAATAAAGTTATTGAAAATTTGAACCAGGCTCCAAATAGTATATATTACAGAGGATCAAATTCAAACCCTGCCTGCTGGAATGATGGGGCCAAAAAACTGTCCACACCACTTGGATAGATGAGAGGGACCTGGTGACACTGGCAGAAGAAGATATTAGGCAGGAGCAGCCTTTGGTGCAGCCAGTAGGTATTTCTCACAGAAGTCTTTTGGGATTCCAAACTGCCAAAAATAACACTGAAATTTCGGATTTAGCTGGAGGAATTGAAATTCTTGAAATTTCCTCTGAATCTAATGGCATTTGAATTTCACGATCGAGTCTAAAAGCTGACCACTCACCTTTCTGAGCTCCAGCCAACCTGTTCATCAAGTATGACTTTCCAGTCCGATACATGCCGACAATGGACACCACCACCACTGGTTGGTGGATGTTGGAGAGGATGTTGACGGCCTCAGGGTTCACCACAAGCTTTGCTCTTCCTCTTTCTATCCTGTTCTCAATGAGGCAGATTGGGCTATCCATTCTGATTGCTGATTCCATGGCAGAGGATTCAGTCAGTTCTGAAAGAAGTAAATATTTATTGGCTTGTATTTAAGGTTGTCAGTATTGATCAGTTTAACTAATGTAACCAATTGTATCCTTCGCAGCTGACCTAAAAGGAGTGATCTCAGCTCTACACCACTTTTTTATATATACTTAGAAACCATGTACAGAATGGGGCTTTCAAAGGCGCTTAGTACACACTTATCACTAAAAATTATAAAACCATAATTTCTTTATTATACATTATAAAAAATACATGTATATATACAGGAGAAAAAGCTTTTCAATGCACCAGGTTAAACAATACCTCCCACAGCCACATGGTACCTGAGTATCTAGTAGTGAACATATGTACAGGCATAGAATGTAGCTAAATCACCATCTCAAATTGTACATTCAGTTGTTTCTAGTGGCATGTGATGCTTCCGATGCGTTTCGCAGGATGCTTCATCAAGGAATCGGAGGTACACTGTTCGTAGAAACACATGATCCAACAATAAATATCCATACCATATAACACAGCAACACATGCATACATTTGCATTTACATATATTGTTCAATCATTTTTGTGCTCTATCAGCTTCATAAGATGACCACAAACTGTCCAGTGTAAAGGAGAACCATAAAGAAACAAGAGATGAATTTTACCCCAAAGCAAAACTGGGCAATTCCAACAGACAAAGGGGGAGATATAGTAGTAATGAGCTGCTCCCAATATGAACATGTATGCCTGAAAATATTGGAGAACAAAGAATAGTGTAAGATAATTACAACACAGGAAGTGGATGAGTTCCTCCTGATCTGATCTGTCATTAAACAATAACAACAGGGCTGAGCCGG